CCAAATTCTTTCATGTTTATGTCCTGATGCTGAAAAGTGTAAAATGCCAAGGTCTCACCAGGAGAAAAAGAGAGAGGAATTCGAAGGACAAAGGGGGAAGTCTGTAGGGACATGTTGATTTCGATATATTCTGATACAATTTCTTCTCTCTACCCTACAGCTCCACTTCTCTTGGGCATATAATACTGAGTTATGACATGCAATATGGAGTTAAAATCAGGAAAACGGTGCAAATTTTTTCTTCGGAGCCTAATAGTATCATAATTGTTAAATAAGAGTGAGTCTGGCCCCAGTAACATTGTACACTTAGAAAACTTTCATAAGAAAGCAGGATGACATTGTAGAAAGACCATTAGGTACTGATGTTCTTTGGGCTCAGTCCTGAACATTTCTGTTCATCTCTCTCGATCTCTCTCTGCTATCCTAGAAGATACTATTTACTTACTTGACTTTAGGTGAAATCTTAATGTTGGTGACTTAAAATTCATAACCGCAGCTTGAAACTCCCCTTCAGAATCTACTCTACATTATTAGCAACTTTTCTACTTAAATCATTATTTGGTTCTCATAAGAATCTCAGACTTATCAAGTGTAAACATGAACTGCTGTTTTCTCTCCTGAATCTGTCTTCTGCATTTCCCTAATCTTCTCCACCTCAATGATGACACAGCACATCATTTAGTGACTGGGACAAGTCAGAAACCTCAGGTTCAAGTCATTTTCCTCACTCTCACCCCACATTCCCATCTACAGTCGGTCACTACATTCTGTCAGTTGTACCTCCAAATTTTCTTTAAACATATAGCATTCACTTCTCTCCATCTCCACCGTCCCCTTTGTAGTCAAGTTATTTTCCTACATAGTTGGTAGAAACATCTTTTTTTGAATGTAAATTAGATCATAGCACTCCCCTGCTGGAAATTCATCAAGCCTTCATTTGAACTTGGAATAAAATTCAAACTCTTTGATGTGGCACCTGTCTACACTTATATCTTTTTCTCGCTAAGTTAGCATCTATCACTGGTCACTCTGTTCCTCTTATACTTCATTTCTGACTCTTCTTAAAACTTGCACAGTATTAAGTATTGCCCTCAGGACCTTCCTACAAGTCATTCCTTGTGCCAGCAACTGTTACCTGTACCTGGCTGACTCTTCTTCATATTTTAGGTCACATCTTGAATGTTATTTCTTCAAGAGACCAACCCTGTAGGTTCTGCCAGTTATTCTCTTCTATTCTGTTCTTTTATTTTATGACATTCAGAATTTGTTATAATTATTTTTGTATCTACTTGCATTGTGTCTGCCTACTACATTAGACTCTATGCTTTATAAGGGGCAGGGCATGGATGTTTTATTCCCACTGATTCCCCACTGTCTATTAGAGTGGCTAACACATGGAGATGCTGTGTAAATAAATATGCTTTGACTAAAATATATGATTATAAATTTCATAGTAAATATGTAGAATTTTATCCCTTTATCAAATGGATTCCAAAGAAGGGCTTTCAGAGTCATTAAAACAAAGTCTTCCTCCTTAAAATATAGTAATATGATAAGCACACAGCCATGTAGACCTATAATATGGATCTGAAATCCATTATTGCCATTCACTAACTCTGTGAATTTGAAAAAGTTAAAAACATTCTAGGTCTTTCTTCACATGTAAATTGAGAATATGTATTTGACCAGCAATCCCTACAGTGTGTTATAAATATCTGAAGTGATAATGTGCATAGATGTATCTCGTACTAGTAAAATATACACAAATTTGAAGAATTATTGCTTTGGGGCCATTAGATGTCAAGTTGAAAATATGTATGTTTATTGTTGGTACCTTTTTTTCTATGTCATTTTTCTGCTTCTAATGTACCTGTAAGTTTCATACTATAATAGTTTGTAAAGTATGAATATAGTATTTCTGAATGAGAGTGATAGAGGGGACCTAGTAAATGCACTAGTAACATATGAGTAAATGTATGTGTAGTAGTGTATATACTTTGCGAAGATTATGATCCAGGAAGATGAATTTTGGAGAACCAAGGCATTACTTTTATCTTCAAACAAGTCTGAAGTGAACATTTCATATATCACCATCTAGTGGTGACCAGTAGAAAAAGCAAAAGCCCCAATCATGCCTTTTATATAGTAACACACTGCTTTAGAATGTGTCAGTGACCATCTTAAATATCTTGCCAGCCCAAACTGTGCTTACCATTTGCTGACTATAATATCTGAGCATTATATAAAGAGTGACTTCCTTTAGAAATCTCTATAGAAGACCAACTGATTTTGCTGATGTAGCGGTGCATCTGGATGATGCATTACTTTACCTCAGCAGTGTTTGCAAATTTATTATTTAAAATAAAAATATAAAACTAAATGTTCTGATTTTTTTTACATAGAAATGATATCCAGTGTTGAGTGTGTTTTTCTAGTGAGATGACATTTGTGCTGACCTGGCAACACTTTCTCACTTGGTGTATTTTTGGGTTTCGGAGGAGGTGCCTGAGGTCATGAAACGGAAAACAACACAATATATATATGCACTGTATATTAAAAAAAAATGGAGTCACCATTTAGTGAGGATTTCTCTCTCATCAGCAGCCTTACACACATGTTCTCACAGTAACCCACAGATAGGTATTATGACTGCAGTTACAGAAATGATGAACTGGATTCAAAAAGCTAAGCAACTACCCAAGGTCACAGAGCAAATAAATCATACAATGTATTAGCGCCAGAGAACTTTATTTTTTAACTGGACCACTCTGCCTGAAACCTTGGCAGTCATCATGCTGAGATCTACCAAATGAACCAAATGACACCCCTCCCTTGCGCCCCCTCCACACGAAAGATCTCACTTTGGATTGAATGTTAATGAATTTTAATGAAAGCTCTAACATTTTAATTACACAGATATATTTGACTGGCTTAGCAGCTGTAGTAGAGGCTGTTGGGACATCAGCCAGTTTCTCTTTCTAGCCAGTGCAACATCCATCCCCCAGCTGCGAAGAGTGTTGGCTGCTAAACGTTCATAGGTGTAATTTTCTTTCTTTCTTTTTTGAAATATCTTTCGCTAAATGTCATATTGCCTGAAAATGTCTATAAAATTATGCCTCACCCACAACCTCTGTTGTAAATCCTTCACTTGGTTTCTCTTAAAGTAGTATTTATTTTCTCCCTCTGCGGCCACTAATTGAAACAGGGACGCAAAGCTTAGTGTTTTTGCCTCAAGGTGGGACAACTCTGCAGTGTTAATTATGCCTCAGATTTCCACATGGATCAGGTTGATGCTAGAACTTGAGCTGAAAGCTCATCACTGACTGGCTTCTGCCACTTCCCTATTCTTTTCTCTCACTCCATTACAAGTTTCTCCTAACGGCACTCTCTTGCATAAAAATCCTTGTCTCCAAGTGGCCAGCTCTTCTAGAGGAATCCGATATAAGACAGAAATGTTTTGCAGTTTCATTACTTTTTTTAAAAAAAAATGCATTTTAGCAATGGAGCAACAATTTTACATAGGTACAATTCAGCAAATGGAGTATTTTGCTTAGCCATGGGTCCTTGTTAACCACAGAAATATTACATGGAAAACAAAACCAATCCCAATGGCATAAAATGTTAAAATTGTCTTTTTAGTAAAGGAAAAAAAAAAGATATAAAGGATTATACAAATGCCGCTAAAAAATAGCTAAATGGAGCTAACTAAACTGAGCAAACATAATACTATTTTCTCCTTGATTTTTGCCCCTGGAGATGGCAAAATCATCTTTAATGGAAGAAACAAGTCTCCATTTCTCTTATGCAATAGAAAATAGAGTACTTTACCAGATTGTAAAGTTGCATTATTCATTAATTATTTCACACAGATACTATTTTCTTAAAGCATCAGGAATAAAAGAAACATTAAAGAAAGTAGAACATAAGGGAGGAAGTGACTACTTTGTTCTACATTAATCATGTGTGTCTTCCATAATATTCTGTGGATTTATCACCAAATGAACACCATCACTGGGAAGGTAAGATTGATTGTTTTTTTCAGTACCTTCTATTTTTTTTGTCCAAATTTTCATAAATTTCTGCTTAGAAAGAAAGTATGGACTTCCACACCTTCACAGAGTTTCGACCTCTGTTGTAAATCCTTCGCTTGGTTTCTCTTAGAGTAGTATTTATTTTCTTCCTCACTGATTCATTCTTTTACCTTAGTCTGGTTTTCTCAAAGTCAAGTCCAAGGATTCACTCAGACTGCTTGACTGCTTGAGTAAGAAACTATTGGAACTGAAGCTCAAGAATTTACACATTAAAAGGACTTAAATCCCTTAAACTTGTGCAATGTTTTATGCCAATTATATCTTCATTGAGATGGTGTCGATGACCTTCACATTGGTGTATGGGTTCTGTTGGCAGTTACAAAGAATGTCTTATGGGAACATAACCTCATAGCTATATGATAATCATTTTCTAGAATCTCAACTTATACATTAACACTGTCTTAAAATTAGTTCACATCATTTTGGTACACAGCACCCTGGTTTTTCCTTTCCAACTTCTTCTCATCTTTTTCCTACTTTGCTAAAGAGAAGTATGTTACTACCCTTGGTATAACCAAGTTAATTGTGCCAAACCAAAGGGCAGTTACAAAATACACGGCTCCTAAAGGAAGAGTTTTACCAGGGAAGCAAAGACAGCTGTGGCATGGGTTGTAAGAGGTGGCTATGGCCTTTTTCCACTAAACCAAAATCTCAGGGCAAGGTTCCATGCTTTTGTTGGATAATCTCTTTCTTGTCTATCTATCCTCTATCTATCTTTCCACTGCTTTATTTTTTTTTCAATAATTTTTATTTTTCTAGAAAATAAAATAATAATTTTACGATTAATTGAATGGCAACTGGTAATCATGAAATTAGCAGTGGGTATCTTCAACTTTTTATACTAGCTGTGCTGTCATTTTTTGAGGTTGATCAAAGTTACCTAGAATCAGACCATTTCCCACTTAAGATGTTTGTCACCAACATTTATAAAACCAGGCCTAGGGGAAGAGCTAGGTCTGGGGACATACGCATGGTCTTAATATAGTGAATGTTTAACCTGCCTGATTATTACAAAATCAGAACAACAAGAATATTTTCGACCATTTTACCTTTTTATCTTCCTATTTAGAATTCAAAAAGATGGCCATCTTGAGAATGTATATTGACATTTTTATTTGAATTGATAATGATATAAGCCTGATTTGGCTGATTGGTTTGATAATAAGGAATGGTTTTTTACCATTTAACATAAACTGAATAATTTAAATCTGCAGCTATAAGCATTTGGAAAATATATTTCTAGCACTTACACAATATACAAAATGCTGGAGATAACATCCTTTGTGGCCATTTATTTTTATGAAATAATTTGAGATACCAACTCTGTGCGAGAGTATATGTTATATTTTGAAATTTTCAGCCATATGTGAGGGAAAAGAATCACTCTGCTCTAAATTTTCAAACAATCTCTCAGCTATAAGCATTTGGAAAATATATTTCTAGCACTTACACAATATACAAAATGCTGGAGATAACATCCTTTGTGGCCATTAATTTTTATGAAATAATTTGAGATACCAACTCTGTGCGAGAGTATATATTATATTTTGAAATTTTCAGCCATATGTGAAGGAAAAGAATCACTCTGCTCTAAATTTTCAAACGATCTCTACTAGATCAATTCCAAAGCAAACAGTAGAAACTGGCAAGTGAGGAAGAGAGGAAGTCTGCAAAGATCCCACTCATATTCCCTTTTCATCCTTGTTATATACCATTCAATTCAAGAGGAATACCAGAGAGTATCTGCATTGAGATAAACACAGAGGAAAAGCCTGGAGAAAAGTCCAGTAACATAATAATATGAATGCAGTTAGAGAATGATTAGTATCTGACAACATGTATCTATATGCATGAATCACAGTAGAAAAAAATGTAAAACAGAGAAATGGAAGATAATTACAGGCTATGATGGTCATTTTGAAGATTGGTTCACTCCATTAAGATTCTTAATCATTCTATTATTTCCAATTATACAATAAAAATTTGTGAAAATTCTAAGCCGCATTAGCTATTTTGAAGAAGATTGTTGGTAGTTGTGATAATTCAAAAGATAAACTATGTTAGCTCAGTTTTTAATTAAAAGAGAAGCAGATAAGTCTACTTTAGTCACGTAAATTAATTTACATGTAAAGGAGTTAACTGTATAATTAAGTTGATTTTTTAAAAGAACCTCTTAAAACCCTCTTTCTTCCCTGGAGTATTTTCAATCACTCTATCAAAATATCATGGAGAAAAATGTAAAAGAGGTGTTTATTTAATATTTGCTGGCTTTGTGAGTCTCTTAGGATTACATTTTACTGTAGTCTTAAAAAATTCTTCAGTTCAAGCCCACATTTTAAAATATGCAAAAAAACCAAGTAGAGTATAGAATTTTATCTAAAGACAAGGAACACTGTTTACATGGCTGGCATTGAAAATAGTTATCAAAAAATTCTCAGCAACATTACTTGTAGCGCGAAAATCATGAATGTCCTAGAAGAGACAATAATAACCTTAGCTGACATGAAAAATAAGATGAATTCAGTGTTCAATGGCTTTTGTGATTTTTTTTAATGTGAACTACATGTTTCATAAAAATCCCTTTTAGTCTTCTGTTCTCAAAAGCCAGTTCTCCTGTTATTATTCCACATTAGTTCCATTTGCTGATTTGATGAGTAAAAGCCTGGTGGCCAGATGCAAATTCTGTTTTCTGGTATTAATCGAACAAGCAAAATAGCTGTGAGTCTGTCATTCACAGCCAAAAGCTTAGAGGAGTCGAGAGAATCACTGTAAGAAGTACTGCAGAAATCTAAGCAATAGAAGGTAATTATATGAATTGACTTATTAGTTCTAAAAGTGAAAATTTATGACTAAAAAAGAAAAAGCCATAATTTTCAGGTAAAAAATTGAGTTCTTTTCTGGTCAAGGGATATTGCTAAGTATAAAATACTACTCATTTTCTCCTACATAATACTCAGACTTTCACAACCTGCTATAAATGAAGCACACAGAAAGATGAGGAATGCCACATTTGAATCAGTGAGCAATTATCATGAAATTACTTGATGACTATGATATGAGTAAAACTCAAATTACAAAGATAGATGTGATATTTAAGAAGAATGGGATTAACTGCATTAACAAATTTTCACATTTGGACAATGTTGACTAATGGGAGTTCAGTATTACTAAAATTAGTATTCACGACCATAGCAGGTAAACACAAGGCTAAGGAAAAGCTTAGAAGGAAAGCTATCTTGCCTCTGAAGACTGAGCAATTACATTTGCAAAGAGTTGGCATTTTTGTGAATATGAGGATACATTCTATGCGAATTAGATATCAAAGAATGTTTAGTTTTTATAATATAAAGAAAATAATTCCATATATTTAGTTTAATGAGCCCCTTCATTGAAAAATATGAAATTTCAATCATTTTAATTTATGATTTAAAAAATCACAGATAATCAAAATAACTGAACCTAGATTTAATTTTTTAGATTTTGCTTTATTTATGGTTGTACCTAAACAAACCGAAGTACAGGGGACACATACTTTGTCATGTAGTGCTTGGCACACAATGCATGCTTTATAAACATGTGTTGAATGATTGAATATACAACTCTTTGAAAGATTGCATGGGACAAAAATAAGTTTCCTTTATAGATCTTCATTATACTTTCAAGTATTCTTAATGGCATGTCTAAGTAATGCTTTATTGGCAGTGTCTCTCAAATTTCAAGTGTAGACTTTTATTCTCTAGCTTTAGTGAACCAATGTCACATGGTCAAGTCAGAGATCGAGCCATGTGAGAGGTGGATACTCGGGGAGAAGTGGAGACACAGAAGAAGAGCTCAATCTGTGCAGAGGTTGTACGACAGGCACTCTGACCTCCCTAGTTCCTCATAATTTGGACTTCTCATGGTTCTAGATATAGTTGCTGGAGTAGAGCCTCTGCTTTCAAAGTCATGTATCCTGGAGGTCTCTCTCAATCTGAAAATCTCTTAAATAGAGAAAAATGCACTTTGATAATAAACAAGAGGAGTTGGGGATAGAAGAAATAGCTCAAAGTGTGACTTTGTATAAAAGTTTGGAAACCATATTATTCTCCTCATTTTATTTTCTCTTCCTACTTTTTCCCTCTGTCCAACAGGAAAATGGGGAGGCTAATGATATGGAGTCACGAGAGTAATCACAAAGAACTAGAAAGCTAAGATTTGGTTAGGCGGATTTTTGTTAACCGGAGGTTGTTTCTATTACTTATTATGGCAGACATTGTTATTTACACAATAATCTCCAAACCTCTTCTTCTATGCTGCCTTCTCTTATAGAGGATGAAAGACCCTCTTTCCCAGTTTCCCCTGCAGCTAGGGAAGGCATACTGGTCATATCTGAACAATGAAAGGTAATCTTAAAATTGGGTTACCAAGATTTTATTTTGCCATTTGGAGTGATTTAAAAAACTAACTTACCATAATAAAAATACTGATAGATAACTTACAACATAATACCTCTCACTTGCCAAGAAGCTTGGTCAAGGTCAGGGAATAATTAAGAGGCATTTAAAACAAGAGAATATTCTCATGAATTAAAACATAAATATAACAGAACTCTGTGTGAGGGGAGGGGAGTATATTGATGAATGCACATAGATTTAAGATATAACTATGTTATGCCTACATAGTGTCCTACCATCATGGTTCCTGAAAGAGTAAACTTTTAAACACTTCTATTCACTCTTCCTTTGAAACAAACTGCATCTTGCATGTGTTTCTGTATTGAGCTGCTTCCTATTTGATAAGGGAGAACTCCATTTTGACAATTCGTAATATACTAAGTCAGCTTAATATTCATTCCTTCCATCTACCCCTTCTCCTTCACGTGGCACATACGTTCCAAAGCACTTACATAAAGTTATTACAATGGGAAGAAGAAAAACTGTGTGGTTCTAGGCCATTGTCATTCTTCCATGGAAACATCTACTGATGCATCTGAAAATCCCTTAATTTCCTGACATATATTTTGTACTAGAGCCAACTAAATTATTTCATCATCATCACTCGACCCCCAGTAACTTCTCTTTTTTTCTTATATTCTCTCCTACCCCGAACCTAGTCCATGGATTACTTAAAAGAGGAAGAAACCCTAAGTAATTATATTCTCACAAGTCTTCATTTTTTATACTCAGGCCATGGATTTAAACTTGAAAGGTAAGAATCTAATACTTTATACTCTGGCTCTACGATGAGCTATGATGACTGTCCCTTGCGGCAGTAGAGAGCTTGTTGAGAGCAATTCTGAGGTGAAAGACAGTTTGGTGGCGTGAAGGTGGCAGGAAATTCTTTATTTTTATTTTTTATTTTTTAGGCGGGGCAATCCTTGGTTGACCTTGCAAGGACCTTGTCAGCTTACAATTCCTTATTTTTTTTATTTTTTTCGCCTACAGCACCTGGTTTTCCTAGGTGGTCTCCCATCCAAGTACTCACCAGGCCCGACCCTGCTTAGCTTCTGAGATCAGACGGGATCGGACTTGTTCAGGGTGGCATGGCTGCACACTGTAATTCTTTAATTAATACCTGACAATGTTACTCCACAACTTACACAATAAAGTTTGCCAAAAGAATCAATCTTTCAATTTTCGGCTCATCTTCGTTAATGTATTAATTTAATTTTTATTTTTTTAAACATCGACTATTTTATTTCATTTCTGGTATGTCTAGGCATGTCTAAATGAGTGCTGAAGAAGAAAGACAAGGACTTTGACTTAATAGAACTTACACTATAGAGGGGGAGAGATATTGTAAACTAAATAAATAGAAAAAAGATTAATTACAGATTGTGGAAGTTGATATGAAGGAACAAACAGAATGCAGGAACAAAGGGGTGATTGTGTTGTGTGCGATGTAGGGCTACTCTAAATACAATGGTCAGATTCCTCTGCTCTCTGATTTCCACATAACTCTACATCTGTCCCATTTAGCCTTTTGCCTCTTTGTCCTGGATTACATAGGCAACATTTGGTCAGATCTCCACTAATTCTGTCTCCTTTCATCCTGTGAGTTT